TATTCGTGTTTTTAAGGCCTTTAAACAAGTTTTGTCTCGACTTTAAGGAGAAATTTCCACTATTTGTTCACTTGTTTTTAATTCACATTTATTAAACATACTATTAATTTATTTATTCAGTTGCGTTGAAAACTGACAGTAATATAAATTAAATACATTATCAACCATTATGTTTATTTTTAGTTTATATTTTTCATTGAAAATTTTATATTGAACAGTTATTGTACAGTAATTGCTATGAATTTAGTCGTTATAAAAATATTGCATTTAAATGATGAAACCATTGGTTAAGTTATTAATTTTTATTAATGTTCAAAATTTTGACAAAGAAAGGGTTTGAAAATATGATAACTATTTTGAATAAATATCTCTTTTATAATCTAAATGATACATAATTTTAAAGACATTGTATTACACTTTATATTGACATGAAATTAAGTTAAAAGCATAGAATCAACATTTACTAGAAGATGATATCAATAATTTATTTGACGATTATTTAAATTTTAAATAAAGAAAACATTTAATAAAATTTTATCTAATTTATAGACTGAAGTGCAATATAATCACACATTAAACACAGGGTTTGTATTGTAAACAATATATCATTAAAATTAGATCTATATAAACACTTTTATAAATAGCCACAAAAATAAATTTAATCAAAATGAAGTCATTTCTAACATTAACTATACTTTTGTTAAATATATGTTTAATATTTGCTGCAAATGAAGACGAGATTAAGAGTCTTCCGGGTCTTTCAAATCCAATAAATTTCAAACAATATTCCGGTTATTTAGATATCGGCGACGGAAAGCATTTCTTCTATTGGTTGACTGAGAGTCAGACGGCGCCGGAGAGCGCACCGGTAGTGTTGTGGTTGAATGGAGGGCCCGGTTGTAGTTCACTGTTTGGAAACCTGAGAGAGAACGGACCCTTTCGAGTCAATTCGGACGGAAAGACATTGACATTAAACCCGAGCTCTTGGAATTCAGTGGCAAATGTGGTTTACTTTGAATCACCCGTTAGTGTCGGCTTCAGTTATAAAGAGGACAAGAAGTATAATAATACGGATCAGTCGACAACAGTTGACAATCATTTAGCTCTCGAAGAGTTTTTCAAAAAATACCCAAACCTTATGAAAAATCCGTTTTATATAACGGGTGAGAGTTATGCCGGAATTTATATACCAATGTTAGCCAAAGAGATATTAAGTAGAAATTCATCAATAAATTTGAAAGGTAAATTATAAACAATTCAAACTATCGTAACATTAATATTTAATTTGTCTAAAAGGTGTTGCAATTGGGAATGGATTTCTAGACTCGGGAACACTCGGTGGTCAACACAGCAGTGACTTATTCTTAGGCCACGGATTCATTACAACTGATTACTACGAGAAGAAAATTGAAAATTGTTGTCAATGCAAAACAGGACAGGTTTTACATGAATGTGATTTTGATAAAGCCATCAATTATACGTAAATAACATTTGTTAATAACTTATATTCATTGACATAACTAATTACATATATCTAAAGTATTATATAGATTTGTAAACACGTGATCAATTTATAATTTGTAAAATATTTGCAGAAAGTGTTCATCGGTGCCATACGAGGGAGGCTTTGCTCCCAACCCGTACAACATATACGACGATTGCGATCCCAGTTCTGCATACATAAGACTTTATAACAAATACTACGCAAAGAAAAGCAATCGTCCGCCGATTATAGCGTCCAATCGTGACAAAGACTGTCCACACAATGGCTATGAAGACTACTTGAATGTACCCGAAGTAAGAAAGGCATTGCACGTAAGACCTGAAGACACCCACGAGTGGTATGATTGTGGTGGCAGTTATTCCGGGTCCGCCACCGATCAGCACCAAACTGTTCACCAATTATTAGATGTCTATAAAATTGGAAAACTAGTCATATTTAACGGGAATTTTGATTCGGTTTGCGATCACATCGCGAATCAACGTTTTGTCGATAGTTTGAATCTACGAAAACTCAGTGATTATAGGTATGAATAGTGTATTACATTTTACGCAAACTAAATAATGTAATAAATTTAGGGGTTTTATAATTACGGTACTCTATATTTCCTATTTCTCTCTATGAAATGGTCAGTTCGTGGGTAACACCGGACGGAACTATTGGTGGTTTTGTACAGCACTATGAAAAGGGATTGAGTTATGTGTTGGTTCGCGGGGCCGGACATATGGTTCCTCACGACAAACCCGAGGCCGCACTTCAGATGCTTAAGAATGTGATCGGGATTTCAATGTTTTAGTTAGACATAATGATATTTATAATAAACGTTAATTCAATGTAATATGTTAATTGCAATATAAAATACTATAATTTATAAGTTTATATTTTTATGGAATTTAATTGTAAAATTATAGTCAATAAAAAATTTAAAAAATGAAATTTACTTTCTCAAAAATTATAATTAACTTCTGAAAATGTATTAATTATATTTTAACAACATATAATAACAATTGTACTGTACTTTATAAATATGTGATACCCAATGCATTGACATTGATTCTCAATTGTGACATAAATGTGCGTTTAATAAAGTAAAATATAAGCATATCATGCGATAAACAATATTAAACTAATCAATAAAACTTCTCAGAATTTAGGTACACTTACCTGAAAGACAACTCGAAGACTAATCGGCAATAATTTTAAGTGTTTTTAAAAACATTTTATCACATGTTTGAATGAGTAAAGTGGACCACAAATTAGATAAATGTGATTAAAGTAATCACCTTATAGTTAACATTGAATAAATTGTTATTTAAAGAAATACAATTCATTTGTGTTTATAGTGAGTAATAATACAATTAACGAATTGTATTAAAAATGATTTCCTCAAAAATTAGCAATATTTGTATAGCACTTATACTATACTTTTGTGTAGTATTTGCTGCAAATGAAGACGAGATTAAGAGTCTTCCGGGACTTTCAGATCCAATAAATTTCAAACAATATTCCGGTTATTTAGATATCGGCGACGGAAAGCATTACTTCTATTGGTTGGCTGAGAGCCAGACGGCGCCGGAGAGCGCACCGGTAGTGTTGTGGTTGAATGGAGGGCCCGGTTGTAGTTCACTGTTCGGAAACCTGGGAGAGAACGGACCTTTTCGAGTCAATTCAGACGGAAAGACATTGGCATTAAACCCGAGCTCTTGGAATTCAGTGGCAAATGTTGTATACTTTGAATCACCCGTTAGTGTGGGCTTCAGTTATAAAGAAGACAAACAATACCACAATACAGACGAGTCGACAGCAGTTGACAATCATTTAGCTCTCGAAGCGTTTTTTAAGAAATTTCCGGATTTAAAGAAAAATCCATTTTATATTTCTGGTGAAAGTTATGCCGGAATTTATATACCAATGTTAGCGCAACAAATATTCAAAACCAAATCTACTATTAATCTAAAAGGTATTTATTTGTATAACAAATAATATGAAGGTTATTCAAAAATACTTTGTATTACAGGAGTATTGATAGGCAACGGATACCTAGATTTGGGAACACTCGGTGGTCAACACAGCACTGATTTAAGATTAGGTCACGGATTGGTTACCACTGATTACTACGAGCAGAAGATTGAGAACTGCTGTGAATGTAAGACCGGTGAAGTGATGCACGCATACGATTTCAGCAAGG